TGTGTGTGTGTGTGTGTGTGTGTGTGTGTGTGTGTGTGTGTGTGTGTGTGTCCATCTTGCTAAGTACTTGCAAACTGTTTTATAACCAGCGCCCACATGTACTACCTCTAACCCTATCCGTACGTCGTGTTTTACAATCGTATCCATACGACGTGGGGAACTGTGTGCCACCACTTCCCAAAGAGGAAATTTACTCGTTAATTTGATCCGTACGCTTTTCATAGCAGTCTGTCAAAATGATTTTTTGAGAAATACTGAAAGTTTCAAAGAAATTCTCGCTCCAGAAGGATTCTAAAATGTGAAGAATACAACCCCGGGGGTACAACATGATCCCAGGGCGTACGGAAAGGGTAAAGAGGATTAAATGTTCGCACCGCCCACCTGCATACATTTCTAAAAGGGATACTAAATCATCCCCGTCCCTACCGGGCTGATCCTCTTCGCCCACCAAAATTAGCAAATCGCTCACTAGTGGGCGATATCGCCCAGGTTGTCAACACCGATCATGTGTCTATTTTTAATTTTTATTTATATTTTTGGTAAGTGTTTGACAGCGCTAGCAACTCCATATGTATAATATATTTTAGCAACCTGGTGACATGTGTCACTTTTCCGGTAAAACTACGACAGCAACAGAGTTGAAAGTTGGCAAGTGCCTGCAAAAAGATAAATAGGTCCCCATGACGGAGCCCAATTTTTTATTTAGATCTATTCATTTCCTGAATTTAAACATATATATTTGACAAAAACTTCCTGTCCTTTTTTGGCCCTTGTGATTATTCCACTGAGAAACGAAACAAATCTGCGAGGCTGTCCTTCACAACGGCAGTGCCGGAAGTGATATTTCGCGAGGCGCATTTTGTTTTGAGAGTAAATATCTAGACTTTCAAAATTTTTGCCATCTCTCAAGATTTATTGCTCCATTTCAGTAGAGTGTAAATATAGTAGGCCAATGACTTTCAGTTGATGTTAAAGCACCTATCATTCCTTTCATCGAAAGCTAGTTTTATATAACGTCATATGAGCACGCGGGACACATTAATAAGCATTTTCAATTTGGTAGTAATTAATTTTGATGAATTTTACCAGGGTGGCAGGTGAAGCGTACTCTTATCGATTTTAGGACCACCCCAAACACACACACACATACACAAACACACACACAAGACACATACACAAACACACACACAGACACACACACACACACACACACCACATACAAACACACACACACACACACACACACACACACACACACACACACACACACACACACACACACACACACACACACACACCACATACAAACACACACACACAACTACGCAAATAAAGAAACAATAACTTGTTATTCATCACGTTTTTGAAACAAGAGTTTGAGGAATTTTAAGCCCTATTACTTGAGCCACATCTCATTACCTTAAGGAAGATCTAATAAAGTGAACCAATTTAATTAAAACGGTAAATCTTGCACTTTGCCAGTTGAGCCTGGCGCCATCGATAAGTAGAAAAAAGAGCGAAATCAATTACCATAAGGAAATGAAAAACAACGCTTATTATTATCATCATCTAGAATCATTCAGTTTTAGGGGTTTTTTTTTTGCGATCGTAAATTGATTATGTTTCCATCACTCATCAACACAATTAGGAGGCGAGCTGCTTGTTCTTCAGTCTTGCCTGTCAATGCCAGCCAGGGCTGAGTAGGATTGAGAATCCTTGCAGCAAGACATTGAACTGACGTCTTTCGCGATGCAAGGAACGACGAAAATGTTAATGAAATGTCCAATGCACACTGCAGAAATATTCGTCAAATCTCCATTCGATATGGTTTGATACCGCAAAGGACTTCCCCCTTTTTCCTTCACGGGGGGAGGATGGGAAAAATCAGGACACTCCCCCCCCCCCAACCAATCAAATATTTTGTTTTGTTTTAGTAGAGGTTTTACGGCGCTCGCAACTGCATAAGGTCATATGAGCGCCAGAGGATTAGAGGCGTTACAAGAGAGTAACAAACATAAAAAAGAAGAAGGCGAGATAACGACGATAGATGTTTCATAGGAAAGAAGAAGCAAACCACACCACAGCACCCGCCAACCACCCACTCCAATAAAATATGTCACGACGCTGTGGAATCAGGCACTCGTCAAGTTTTGGACATTATATAGGGTTATTGGTATCAACCTAAAACTTATTAATTTGACTTGATTTCGGTTTAAAAAATGCCCATCTATCTTGAATGGAAGTCGAGATATTTGCGACTGAAGGAGGTGTGGGTCACCTCGTGTCAGAGATAAATTTAGTGGGAAAATGGCCGCCAAAGTTTGGTGACTTCCAAAGCTTGAGTGTCCTTGAAAACTGCAATTATACATTTTTTGTGACTAAATTTGATTTTTAAAAACCCTTTCCATAAAAATTCCCGCAGGAATATGTCTTTGAATGGTCATAAAAGGCGTTGAGCCAAAAAAAAGAAAAAGAAAAAAAAACGAGAATTTGAAGAAACCCAACCCAAACAAACTTAGCAGCAAGTTTAATATGCTGGCTGCTTTGATATCCTTATTATGACGTGAACCTGGTTTTCACCACGACGCCTTACAAATAAAATGTTTGGTTTTCTATGTCACAATCCGATTCATTATAACATACCAAATTTGATGGAGCAAAGCAGAAGTCTGTTTGATAAATCGTCAACAAGCTGTTAAAATGTACCATGCCTAAAAAGCAACGATTTTCAGTAGAGACGAAAAAAAAAAAAAAGAAACGACATGACTTGTGACCCATCCTTCGCCAAACTATGCTGATAAAAAAAGCGAAATAACGTCATCCTCAAGTCTACCAATTAAACAAAATTAAATCCAGAAAACAAAGCATTGATATTAATGTTTCTCTTTCCTCCCCCTCCTCGCCCTGCTACCCCCCCCAATCTCCCAGTTGGCTCTGGATCCGCTGGAGCTGTCTTAGCCAATCGTCTGTCGGCAAACCCTGACGTCACAGTGCTTCTTTTAGAAGCAGGGGGAAGCAATCGTGGCTACAGAGAGCTCAGAGTTCCTGTCTTTATGTGGCAGGCTGGAATACACGAGCATCTGTTCTTTAATTACCTAACAGGTAAGAGTGAAAATGAAGTTGAAAATATATTATATCTGCTCCTTTTCTATGAAATCGTTTTTAGTTAATAACAATAAATGATAAATTATGACATTTATATGACGCTCGCATAGAAAGGAACTGGCCACCCTACCACAATATGCCGAAGGCCCAGGAAGTTGTCCCACTAACAAGGCAATCCTCAATGTCCGGATCGGATGCAGGAACAACTTTACTTTTTGTATAGCGCTCAACCCCGAATAACATACACAGGCTCTTGTGAGTGTATGTGTGTGTGTGTGTGTGTGTGTGTGTGCGCGCGCGCGCGCGCGCGCGCGCGTGTGTGTGTGTGCGCGCGCGTATGTATGTGAATATTGCATTTGTATGTGTTCAATTCGAAGGTTGCATATTCTTTAAAGTGTGAATTTTAGCCAAATGTAAGGCTTTTTTCTTCTTTCCAATGTTCTTTTAATTAATATAGCGTTCAACCCCGAATACAATACACAGGCTCTGAGCGCAATACAACACAACAATAACATAAAACTTTTTGTTCTGACCATCAGAAAATCTCTCCAAATATTCGCCGTATTAAATTATAAACAGTCAAATTGCTCCAGTGGCCACCTGTCCCAGACAATCACCAATACAAATGGCCACTTCCCACTTTCTCCTTTTCATTAAAGAAACAATTATTAGGCCTATCATTCATAATGACATCTGTCATATTATATTTGTGAAAGTTCTTCACTTTGGCAGCCTGAAACTTCGGAACCATTTAAGTTTCGAATTTGAAAAAATTAACGGTGGCTCAGAATCATTTAAAGGATGCACAGTTTTACTGAGGAGTCTGAAGTCATTGCAGTTTAATTTTCAGTTGTTCATTAGTTTCGTTTATGTGAAAGTCCGTCTTCTAAGACATCATGATAAACAAGTGAGGCTTCCGTTCACAAGGAGTGTGCGCACTGATCCCAGACCTTTGAAATTTTGAAGTGTACAACCATGACAGCGGAATAGAGAATCAATCTATACATCTCTATAATATCTAGATTCTAGACCTTCTAATTTTTTTTTCATCTCTCAAGATTTATTGCTCCATTCTAGTAGAGTGTAAATATAGTAGGTCAATGACTTTCAGTTGATGTTAATGCACCGATTATTCCTTTCATCGAAAGGGGGTCCAGCTAGTTGTTCTATAAGTCCACCTGTCTAAGACAACGCCTTTGCGCCTAGAAAATGGCGTGTGGCCGCCTTGGGCAATTTAAACTGTATTTACGTGTGTGTGTGTGTGTGTGTGTGTGTGTGTGTGTGTGTGTGTGTGTGTGTGTGTGTGTGTGTGTGTGTGTGCGCGCGCGTGCGTGTGCGTGCGCTTATGTATGTGCATATGGCATTTGTATGTTTATATATTATATATTTGGCAACTTGGAAACACATGTGTCACTTTTCCCCATAAAACTACGACAGCTACAAAGTTAAAAGTTAGCAAGTACATGCAAAAAGATAGAGAGGTCCCCATGACGGAGCCCGATTTTTGTTTTATTCATTTCCTGAATTTATACAAATATATTTGTCAAAAAGTTCCCGTCCTTCTTTAACCGTTGTGATTAATCCACAGAGAAACGAAACAAATCTGCTTAGTTGTCCTTTATAACAGTGCCGAAAGTGATATTCGGGAGGCGCTATTTTATTTAAAGTATAGATCTAGACCTTCTAAGTTTTGCATTTCTCAAGATTTACTGCTACATCCCGTAGAGTGTAAATATAGTAGGGCAATGACTTTCAGTTGATGTTAATGCATCGATCATTCCTTCCATCGAAATGGGGCCCAGCTAGTATAAGATATTCGTGAGAGTACGAAGATGTTAATACAACGCTGAGTATGAACGGGCCTTTTTGGGTAAATTACGCCCCCTTTTGTTCAATTCGAAGGTTGCGTATTCTTTAAAATATGTTTTTTAGCCACGTTTAAGGTTTTATCTTCTTTCCAATGTTCGTTTCTTCCACTTTTAAGGCTCAATGTTTTTTAAAATGTCAAAATTTTAATATTGCACTATGATGGTAAAGTGCAAATGTAGAAACAATTGCTATGACTTTTGGCCCAATGCCTGAAACCACAATCACCTTTCATCAAAAACAGCAAATGCGCTTTAGCAGGTTACACCTGCCTAAACTTCTGCAAACAAAAAACAACAGCAGCAGCAGCAACACAAACAACAACATCAAAACCAGAGAGACAACAACAAAAACAACAACAACAACAACAACAACAACAACAAACACACAAAAACAACAACAGAAACAACACAGTAATAGCTAAGACCACACAGAAGATGAGGATGCTCGGCGCTGCAGCGCACTCAAAATGGGGATGGAGGAAAGACGACCTACGCAAGGTCTACCTCACTCCTATACAAAGTGTTCTCAACTTTGCGAGCAGCAGCTGGCAATCGTGGCTGAGCAAAACTCTGATAAATAATCTGGAGGTGATTCAAAACAGATGTCTGCGACTGATTACCACCCACGCCCAGTCCTCACCGATCGAGGCACTTTGAGCTGAAACGGGGGTCCCAAGCATTCAGTCCACCATAAATGCTAACTGTCTCCGATCAAGAGAGAAGGCCCTCCGACTGAACAACGACCACCCTCGACGAATAGCGGCAACGGGACAAGTGCACAGACGCCTAAAAGGACGCAGGGATTTCCGAAAAAGGGCCGAAGACGTCAGCAAAAAGAGCCCACATCTGTTCGACTGCGAGAGGAGGCCCATCACTTACTTCGAAACCAGGCCCTGGGAACGTGGAATCAACCCCGACATCACTTTCCCCCACCTGTACGGCACGAGTGGAAGGAGTGACTCCAGTGGGAAGATTCAAAGCGCTGCTGTTCGTCGAGCACGAGAGCTTGGCGCACAGTACAATATCTACAATGACGGCTCGGCTAGGGCAGGAACAACGGACGGCGGCGCTGGAGTCGTCATCACAACGGGGAACCCGTCCAACAATACCGTTGTCGAGACATTGAGGGAGAAAGGTGCCATATTTACGTGCTCTTTCGAGGAAGAAAGGAGAGCCTTGGAAATGGCCATTGACTGGATTGACAAAGAGTGCGATGCATCCAACTCGGTCGCTATCTTCACCGACAGTCAATCACTATGCATGGCACTAGTGGGAACATCACCATCCTTCGACCAAATGCGACTACGCATAAATAATGTAGTACCTCAACCCACGATTCAGTGGATCTCTGGTCACCGCGATATCGTCGGCAACGATCTCGCTGACAGTAATGCCAAACTGGCAACAGCGCTGCCGGGTCCAGGCCGCCAAATTACTTATGACAGTGCGTGCACCCAGATAAAACTAATTACAAAAAGACCCCCCTATATGCCACACACGGACGAAGGAAGTATACAGGGCATTTTCCTTAAAACGAGAGGCTCTTATTATGTCCAAATCAGGACCGGTCATTTCTCTGGGCTTCGGTCCTACAAATATAGAATAGACAAAACATCGGACCCAATATGTCCATTGTGCAGCGAGGAGCCCCAAGATTTGGAGCACTGGCTGCAGAGATGCCCCGCCACGGAGGCCCGGCGGTGGCATCTCTTCGGGGAGGATTCAGGGAGGTTGGACTGCCCCACCCGCTACCCAAGGGAGGCGGTGGCCCTGGCGAAGAGCACACTCTTCGGGGCTCCGAACATTTCGAACGGATAGGCTACCACACACACACAACAACAACAACAGCAGCAATAACAAGACAAGACAAAAAGAGCTGTTCTTTCGGATGTGGTGAATGTTGTAACGTGATCACAAGTTTAAACACTCATGATATTCTCATAATAGAGAAAAAGAGAAGCCATTGGGAAAACTTGCCCTTTAACCCTGGGTCATATTTTGTACCCCCAGGATTGTATTCTTCACATTTTAGAATACTTCTAGTGCGAAGATCTCCTTGAAACTTTCAGTATTTTTCAAAAAATAATCTTGACAGACTACTATGCAAAGCCTACGGATTGGATTAACTATTAAATTTCCTCTTTGGAGAGTGGTAGCGCAGAGTTCGTATGGATACGATAGTAAAACACAACGTACGGATATGGTTAAAGAGTCCTATTGACCACATGCATGATTAGATCGGCTGGGGTCAGGTCAGGTAGTGGCTTTGGTCTGTGTCCACAATATCAAATCAAAATCTTCGTCCAGACAGTCAATTAAGGCCTACAGCATTTCTGACTCAAACAAAAGGTACGACCCCCAATGTCATGTGACACTACCAAGCTTGCGATTGATTGTTGGACCGGATTTTCATAAAATTTATCGGATCGTGATCCAGAAAATAGAGAATATTTGATGCTGTAGGATTTGATTTGGTCAAATGTTGTCAAAATCATCTCTCTCTCTCTCTCTCTCTCTCTCTCTCTCT